ACACTGCTTTAAATGTGTCCCAGAGATTCTGGTACATTGTGTCCATTCTGATTGGTTTTGAAGAACACCTTTATTTCTACCTTCATTTCATTGTTTATCCAGTAGTCATTCAGGAGCAGGTTGTTCAGTTTCCTTGTGGTTGTGCAGTTTTGAGTGCGTTTCTTAATCCTGAGTTCTAATTTGATTACACTGTGGTCTGAGAGACTATTTGTTGTGATTTCCATTCTTTTGCATTTGCTGAGGAGTGTTTTACTTACAATTATGTGGTCAATTTTAGAACAAGTGCCATGTGGTGCTGAGAAGAATGTATATTCCATGGATTTGGGATGGAGAGTTCTGTAGATATCTATTAGTTCCATTTGGTCCAGATCTGAGTTCAAGTCCTGGATATCCTTATTAATTTTCTGTCTCCTTGATCTGTCTAATATTTACAGTGGGGTTATATACAATAATTTATTATAGATAATGGAACTAATTAGATTTAGAACCACAATACAAACTTTAGAAAGACTTTCTAGCAGCTTTAATGTCCTGCTGAGAAAACAATATTGCACTGTTAAAATGTTTTGAAAGTTTATGGTTTAAAAGAGCATTCACTTTGATTAGAATTTTCTGTATTATTTAATGTAATGTTTTAAATTTAGTGGATATAGCCAAAATATGAGGGACAAGGTACTGCTATTGAGACTACTTTTCCTTACTATTTTTTCTCACTTTTCTTTAGTGTAGCAGTTCTTAAAGTGTGGTTCCCCTCAGCATCATCTTGGAAGTTATTAGAAATGCAGATATTCTGGCCCCACATCTGACCTGCTGAAATAGAAACTCTGGAGATAGGACCCAGAAATCTGTGTGGTTACACACAGATAAAATTATTGCTCTAAAATAGTGGTTGTCAAATTTCAACATGCATTAGAGTTGGAAACCATCTGTGTAACTCTAATGCATGTTAAAATTTGGGAATCACTGTTTTAAAGCAATCATTTTATCATTTCATCCTTGTATATTTATGTATCTATGTATGCATGTATGTATGTATGTATATAATTTGCAGGACTGTTGTCCATGAAGCATCATTATTTTATTTGCATATAATACCTATTAAAGAACATTATTCTTGCTTTTATTATCCTTGCAGTTTTTCTCACTGGTTGATGACTTTAATCAGTGAAATATAAAAATTCTCATCTTCACTGAAGGATCTACTGAATAATCACTTTAACTCAACTATATTGCATTATTGAAAGCAATCCTTTTAATGTAAGTATGACGTCTTTTCTCATTCTCTTTGAAAATATAGTTCTAATATTAATATAGACAGGTAAAGAGTGGCTGACTTCCCGTTTTTCCCATAGTCAGATGGACCATAGGGTTTTGATAGGCAGAGCAATTACATTTTTTATTATATAAACATCCATTCGAATTCCTTTGTGAAATCTTAGCAAATTGCTTGCTTTGCTTTGCATTTCTAGATAAATTTTACCAGTTGAATATTAGCAACCACTTTTTTTTTTATTTTGGTGTTTACTGTAGTCAGATACATTACAGGCATACTAATAGGTTAAGCTATATGGGAAGAGTGTTAGCTTAAAGGATTAGTCAATTGGGAGAAGACAAGGAGCCAAAGCAAGATTTAAATATTGTCCAATGTGAACTACTGCTCATCTTCACATTTTGAAAACAATAATTAGAAATTTCATGTTCTGTGCTCCTGTTGAGGTTTATGTGGAAAATTATTGACGAGTTTCTGCCTTGAATTTTGACTTTTAACTCATGAAAATGCAGCTTTATAGTTCATACTCAATAAACACACTTTCAGTAACTAAGAGCTGGATTATACCCAAGATAGTATTAAAAGAAATGTGGGTGGCTTTCTTGCAGTTTTTCCACCTTTACCATGACATTCATCCAAAGTTTCTATTTAGCCATACTTTGTGGTTCAGAAAATTCAAATTAAGTTTCCCAACAAGTTTTCTAATGTGCTGTTTTTGATATATGGGTGATTGATTCTACTATATGTAGTTAAGTATTGAGCCACAATCTACATATTAAGATAAGTCCTATTATTTAATGCCTTAATTGAAAATTGTACTAATAACATTACATTGATACTGTACATTATGTGAAAATGAGCAGTAGCTGTGCCAAAAGAAACATAACATTATTGTCAAATCTTGATTATTAATGTTAGTAGATATCAGCATTGTTGGAGGTATATATAGATTCCAGATCAGTACAAATCACTTATATTTACTCCACTGTGACATACATTGTATTGTATTTTGTGCTTATATCTATCTACGTGTGTATATATGTTTGAATGTATGTGTATCACAAATCATAATTATGCTTTTCTCTAGGGCTAATTTTAGTGATATGATAACTCTGAATTTGTCAGTAATGATATGTCAATAAAATAGACTTGATTTTAAAAACAAGCTTACATAGTTATGGCTAGAGAAAGGTTTAAAAAAGCCCTAACTGGTTATTAAAGCCCTAATTTTGACAATTGAATAATATGTTGCTCACGTAAGGACACAATTTCCCCACATCCTAGCAAGTTGTCTTCACTGTTTCTATAATTATGAAGAAATACTAGGCCTAAACTATTTTATATGTGTATTTCTAAAGCTCATAGATAATTGAAAGGACTAGAATGTCTGGAAATCACTAGCATAGATAATTAAGTGGCAATTGGAAAGTTGCACACTGATGTACAGTTTTTCTACACCATTTTCCTGGTGTAAAGTGAAGTTAAATTTTGGGCCTCTTTCTTATCTTTGCAAGATTTTACTATGATTCTGTTTGGGAAACAAAATCCTATCTTCTCCCTTCTCTGATATCTAGGAACAGATCCAAGATGTTAAGTGGGACTTCCTATTTCTTGGTTTGAAGGATAACTTTTTGATCAAGGACTTCTGCATTTTGGCAATTATTTATTTTAGTTATATCTCTGGATGGTTTTATTTGCATATAAATGTCCTGTCAACTTTTGTTTCGGGAAGAATTTGTTAATTTCAGTAATGTCAATATACCAACATAAATGTTTTCCATTATTTTCAGATCAAAAATGATTTACTTGGAGATTGTAGGTCTAGGATTAGACAATTGAATTTTTTTTAAATTTTTACTCGTATTGACAATGAAAATTTTCCATTAAGGAAAGGAAAATTTATATTTGCAAAACAAATTTGCACATGAAGAAGAAATTTTAGAACTTTTTCTATATCAATTAAAATCTTACAGTTTGTATGTTATATTTTAAAAATATTTATGAGGTAAATTGTTTTTCTTCCTAAAACCTTTACATGAAGTCAGCCAGTGTTATGAACTATTCCTTTCCTAGATTGAGAATTTGAGCATAACAAACCGTTAACTTCTAATAATTCAGTGACAATTTCAGGAGAAGGAGTTATAAAATAAGATTGCCAGTTCTCATTGCATGTTGTATCACCTCGTGTAGCATCTTGCTCTTTCCAATGCCCTAAAAATGCTATATAAATAATTTCATTTGATAGATGAATTACCAAATTCTGAAACCCTGATATGTAGTCAATTTGGTCCATCTATCTTTAAGGATTGATATGGATATTCATATAGCTGATCAAACTGTACAAACAGTCATTACAGTTGCTTAAAACAAGCATCCAATTTCATGGGTCATTTCATCATATAATAAAAGGAAATATTCAGTCTGTAATTCATATTTGTAAGGATTACATACAGAGAAACAGAATAGGTTTAATTTTTGCTTCTCACTAACACAGATATGCTGTTACTTAATTGACCTTTTGCAAAATGTATGGATTATCAAAGTAGTCCATGTAGGTGTCAAATAAGTGATTCTCTTTGCTCTAGGTCTATTAGGGAAATATATAATACTATATTTCAAATATTTATATACTGTTTTGATAGCTCCTTTGATAGGCAAAATACGAACACTGTCTACACAAATCTGTCTTAAGCTTCATATTGTCTTTTATTTCTGGAAGTCAAGAACAAATGCCTAACCCAAAACTTTGTCCATGTTGAATGTTCTTTACTTTCCTAGATTTATTTGTTTAGACAGCTCATTAACATACTTGAAGATCCATGTAATCACTCAGATTGTACATAATTATATCTACTTGCATTTATAGTGTTTATGCACCTTATTAAATGTTAACTTCCTAACATTCCCTAAACTATAAAATTATCTGAGCATATTATTATGTTGCACATCTGCAATGAACATTTTTTAAAGCTCAGGAATCTTGTGGGTTTATATATTCTTATTCTCATTTCAGGTACAAATTTAGTAGTCTCATCTGTTTTTCATTTTAAATTGACATTCCTTCAACTAACATTTTTTAAAGGGCTGCTGGGCATATAGAAAAGGTGATAAATTAGGTACTTTCCTTATTCTTAAAGAATTAAAGGAGTTTATACTCTAATAGAGGACTTCGGTAATCTTTAAAGTAAGAGCAGTTATATATATGAAACTGAAAAATGTATGAGAGAGTGATCTGATGCTTATGGATTCAAGATTATATATATTGTTTTAAACACTATGCTATTAAGTCCATTGGTTCTAACACAGAGACATGCTCTCTGGTCTCACTTTAAATTCATGATAATTAATCTCAATGACAAATTATGGTTATCCTATGAATAAAATTTATATCACAAAATAAATACCATCATGATAATAGTTACGTGAAAAAAGATTGAAAAAGGCCACAATTTATATCAACAGTAATTACAACTCCAGCAAATTCCTGAGAAATCTGTTTGCATTCATCAATGTATCTAACATCTTTGACATAATAATTGCGGCTTTTATTTCACTTTTAAATTTAAACATGATTAAACACATTGGTAATTTCCTTCCTAGGATTATCATGATTTATGTCGAGGGTAAGTCTATTTTTAGCTTTTTCATATGCTTTAGCATTGGTTTTAAGGTACTAACATATTTCCTCCCAATATTTTGCTTGCAGTCTAGGTGATCGACTGACTTCACAATGTCTGAAATTAGATTCAGCAATCTAACTTGGGATCAAGTTATAAAACTGGATCAAGTGTTAGATGAAGCAACTCCAATTCATGGAAGGGGGAATTTCCCCACACTGGAGGTAAAACCAAAAGATATCATTCATGTTGTGAAAGATCAACTCATAAAGCAAGGAATTGTTGTTAAAGATACCAGATTGAATGGTTCCATAGCAAGTTACATACTTGCACACCGTAATGGAATCAGCTATAAGGATCTGGACGTTGTTTTTGATGTTGAGCTTCCCAGTTGCCAAGAATTTCATATTGTTAAGAATGCAGTTCTAGGTTGTCTACTGGACTTTTTACCAAAAGATGTGAAAAAGGAAAAGATGACCTCATATGTCTTGCAAGAGGGTTATGTACAGAAGTTGGTCAAGGTCTGCAATGAGCATGATCGTTGGAGCCTTATTTCCCTTTCAAATAACACTGGGAAGAATTTAGAACTGAAATTTGTGAGTTCACTCAAACGCCAATTTGAATTTAGTGTAGATTCCTTTCAAATTATTTTGGATCCCATGTTAGACTTCTACCGTGACAAAAATGCCAAGCTAACCAAAGAGTGCTGTCCTGCTGTGATAGCTGAAAGCATGTATGGAGACTTCCAGGAAGCAATGACACATTTGCAATACAAGCTTATATCTACCAGAAAACCTGAAGAAATTAGAGGTGGTGGCCTTTTGAAGTACTGCAACTTGCTGGTTCATGGCTTCAAACCAGTTTGTATATTTGAAATGAAAAAACTGGAGCGTTACATGTGCTCTAGATTCTTTATTGATTTTTCTGATGAAGCAGAACAGAAAAAGAAAATTGAATCGTACCTCCACAACCATTTTATAGGTGAAGAAAAGAGCAAGTATGACTACCTTATGACCTTGCGTGGAGTTGTGGACGAAAGCACTATTTGCCTCATGGGTAATGAAAAAAGACGGGCTCTTAACCTGATTACCATTATGGCTTTAAAAGTACTTGGTGAACAGAATTTTCTACCTAGTACAGAAAAAGTAACGTGCTTTTATCAGCCTGTTCCACACTTTGCAGCTGAGGCAGTGTACCCTAATTATGTAACATCTGGGCCACCACCCATTTTCTTCCAGCCATACCACCCACCACACTTTCATGGGTCAAATGGTATGCCTTAAAAAACATACATGCAACAACAGAAACTTTGCTTTAATTAAGCACTTCTTAAAAGCAAGTTTCCAGATTATGTAAAATTCCAATCTATTCTTATTTTTGTACAGTTGCCAATTATTTTCAATTAATCACAGTTGCTGGAATAGCAGTTACCAACTATTTTTGATCAATTAAGCCATTATAGTAAATATAGTATCTGTAAACCAACCACTTTAAATGGTTTTCAAATGTTATTGACTGTAATAACTTTCAAATATTGTTTTCCTCTTGAAATGATTTTTAAATTTTCTGACTACTTATGACTTTCAAATTTACTATGACATTAGAGATGCCTGCATCTTTGACTAAAATATAAAAAACAGATTCATGTTTTAAAATTTAGATATACAGTGAAGTACCAAATTTTTTATATTCAATCAGTTCCTTTGTTACATTTAGTTCTTTTGTTTATATCGAATATGCCATCATTGAAATTTTCAGTACTTAATGGAAATGCCTAATTTCAAAAACAACAGATTCAGAAGACATTAAAACCCTGGACTTTTCAAGATTTTTTTTTTTTGACAATTAGGTTGGATACAAAAGTCCTGCTATAGTTTAAAGGAATGCTGGGAAAAAATGATTCTGGAAAGCACTGGGCATTAGTAATTTGTCATCCATATGATAAAGCATTTAGTTAATTTGTGAATTTGAATAATAATATTATACTGCTGTGCAGCTGCTACTGTGATCAGATACAGGGTCTTCTGCCCCTTAAAATAAGTTAAAATGAATGAAAATGACCAACTCTGAATGTGAAAGCTTTGTATTATCATCTACTACAAAGAGATTCTAAATGGCAAGCAGAAAAAAATGGGCAGAGGTTTATAGCCATAGCATTTACCATTTTATAGCCTATTTGAAAAATATTTTTATGGTGAGAAATATAACATTTTAGTAAGTTAAAATATTTTTATTATAACTAAATGAAACAGATTTTCCAATTTGCCTTTACCAAAGATCATTTTCTAACATGCCACTCAAGTGCCTGCTCATGTGACTTTTTGCATAACACGATGATTTATTCAACAACTGTGTACATTTACAGTATCTCTAAATATATACTTACTACATCAAGTATGCTGCTAGAAAATCTACCAGTGGGATTCAAATGTATTTTCTTTCCATAATGAAAATAATCCATGACTAATGTTATCTGAAGTGTTAGAAGAGGAGCTGTCTTAAATTAGTATGGAGCAGGCCACTGGAAAACTTCAATATTTCCACTTGCCTATGATTTTTTGTGAGTTTCCATTTCAGTTTATATTGGCCATCACATGTTTTCTATCACAACATGACCCAACAGTTGTATCCTGTTAATTTGTCAGTTATAGACTTGCTTAACCTATCTTCACTGTATTACAATATGGAACACAAGAAGTATGTCAAATATGGCATTTTCAAATATGGACCACATAAATAGAACTTGTCTATATATACCAATATTTCTGAGGTATTTTATACCACAGCACAAGTGGCCATCAGTATATTTTTAAAGAATTATATATCGCAGAATCCTGAGGCTTTAAAACACTGTAGGCTTACCACTTTCTTGACAATTAAAGAATTTATAAATACAATATTAAAAAGAAATTTCAGCAACCTATTTACTCATTGTATTGGCTAAAGATGGTTGTCTTTATAGGTTCAGCATTTTCCAGAGTAGCATTTGACACTGAGTAGCAGAATTCTGAAGACATTTGGAAATATCTCATACCCCATGTGCTCATAGCTTTCTTTGATCCCATTGAGAATTCAAACTTTCTTTTCTAAAAAGCAAATTCTCGATGGCATTCTCCTAAAGCTTTAAGTCCAGATGGAAGAATGGCCTGAAAGCTACATCTGTTCTAACAATTTAAGCATGTATTTGCCTTGTTTAAAAACAACAACAACAACAACTCTAAGAAGGGCTATCTATGACTTTCTCAACAGAGAGAATTTAAACCTCTTGAAGGGGGATTACTGAAGAAAAAGCTGTAGCTTTATTTCTCATGGCTTTCTTTCTATATATGCCATTACCAAGCTAGTACTTCCTTTGCTCCCACCCAACTAGCAAAGATCTATCTATTAAAATACATTCAAATTAAAGAGTTTAAAATTTGTCTTTGAAATCACAGTTTATTTATGCATTGATAAAGATAATATGCAACATGCCTCAGATACAATTAAAAGTCCTTTTCATTCAGTGCATCTATTACCTGGAAGTAGTCATTCAACTTTAAAAATATGGGAAATTAAATTATATAATTGAGAAAATTGTTGAAGTTTTAACATTTTTAATATTTTTCAAAATTACATTGATTTAAGAGTGCATCCATCTCACTCATTGAAGATTTTTTTAATGTAATTTACATTGTAAATTAATAGTAAAACAAGATTGAGAGATATGTGAAACTACGATTTGGTAAACATTTTCATGAAGACCATTTTCATAAAACTTCAAACCCAACATTTTAACCTAATCTGGGACTTTTTTGCTATACCATTGTAAAATAAAATGTATTTAATATTTTATTAGTTGTACTGTCCATTTTGTGGTTATATTCTTTAAGTTATAATGTTGAAATTTATGTAATACGCATTTGGAAATTGTATTGCTGATCCACTGTTCCATTTAATGAATATTTCTTCAGCACATATAACTGGAAGTAGCAAATCTGTTGGAATTTCAGTGTTTTGCTCTTAAGTGCTTCATTAAGGAAACAGTTTTTCTTGAATTTTGTGAGTTCTAGCAAAAACCGTGGTATTCAGAATATACACTAATTTGAAACCAATTTAGCATGTAACTGGTGATCTTTGAGCATAACACATTATACTTTCTTTTGTTTTTTGATGGAGGAATGTAAGGTGATTTTTTTTTCAAAATTTTCCTATTTAAGGCAGTGCTACATTGATGTATTTGTTTTAAACAACAACAAAAACACTTTTTGTCTATATGTAACTTTTGAAAGAGGAACAGATAGACAATAGATGAACAGAACAATTTTATGTGTGTGTATTTTTATGACTCTTCAAAGCAACCAAACCTCCCTGTCCTAGAAAAATAGTATCATACAGATATACATGTAAGTAACTAAGAACAAAATAACTGGCCTCTGTAAATGCATAAAATTACCTTTCTAAGAAAGGTTTTCAGTGGACTCTCTTTGAAAAATGTTTTCTTCATTTCCAAATTAAACTTGATGAATTGAATAACCCAACCCAAGTAATATCATGGCAATTTATGACAATTCACTTGTTATAAATTGCATATGATAGAATTTGAACCATTCTCTAAAATGCTAATAAGTAGTCCACCTTATGAATAGACATGGTTCAGTCATACCTGGTCCTTTGGCTCAACTAGAGAATCCAGAAACATGGGATTGAATTCTTTTTTTTTTTTTTTCTTTTTCTTTTTTTGAGACAGAGTCTCACTGTGTCGCTAGGCTAGAGTGCAGTGGCGCGATCTTGGCTCACTGTTAACTTCCACCGCCCTGGTTCAAGCAATTCTCCTGCCTCAGCCTCCCGTGTAGCTGGGACTACAGGTGTGCGGCACCATGCCCAGCTAAGTTTTGTATTTTTTAGTAGAGACGCACTTTCACCATGTTGGCCAGGATGGTCTCCATCTCTTGACCTCGGGATCCACCCGCCTTGGCCTCCCAAAGTGCTGGGATTATAGGCGTGAGCCACCGCACCCAGCCAAATTCTTTTTTTCGTATTTGTATAGCCCTGGAAATATCAGTGGGGGAGGTTAGTCTCCATGAAAATGACAGTAGAGAATCATATGAGTGTTCATGCTAATATTCTATTCAGTAATTTCACTTTTATTATAGGAGGACCACATAAATAGAATTTGTCTATATAACAGGTACTTTAATCTAAAAAATAATAATAATACAGGTATTGTCATATTTTTAACTTGTAAAATCAGAGTTAAAAAGGACATTCTTCTATTATGTGTAGAAGACACTTCCAATATTTTTAAAATAAAAATTGATATTAGATAGCCATTACATTTATGTATTTTTATTTTAAAAGGTATTACAAATGTTCACTTCTCCCCAGTAAAATTAAAGATTAAACGCAAACATATGTTTACAGATATTTGAACAAACAGAATTGTAAATAATTTTCTCTAAGTTTCACATGTAACCTTTTTGAAGACAAAATATTTCTACACAAATTATTTTCTTTATGGTTTTGGGAGTTTTGTAAGATAGCTTTGGGCATTGAGAATTAAATGCCTTCCAAAACCAATGGTTGTTAAGTCAGTGAACTTCAAATATCTATTGTCTTATTGCAAGATTTGCTATCAGGTAAAATGCATTTAGTAATGTCAACAAGTAAAAAGTATAAATTTTAACAGTTTTAAGGTTAAAAATTGACTTCCCTTAAAAACACCTAAATACATATTTCAAGTGAAAGGCATTATATTCTTCTAGGTAAATAATATATATACCAAAAGAGAAACCATGCCTGGGAAGTTAACTGATTTAGAAATATAGAGGACTACCTTCAACATGCTATAAATAGATTTGTATGAATTTCATCAACTATTTACTAAGTTAGGGAAAGTACCTCTATAGAAGAGATATATAAATTCTAGTAATCCTGACAGTTTCCAAAAAGGGAGCATGTAATCCATTTTCCTGAGGACCAAGTTTTTAATTCCTCCCGTTTTGCTTCCTCATTTTTTTCATTTAGTGAAATGGTACCTCTTTGTGCTCACAATGATAAGACGCAAAAAAAAAAAAATGACATCTGGGGCAATTTATTACTGTTTATATTACCAAAAGACAAAATGACACTATGCCAAGTTTATTTATTACTGAGGGAGTGTGTGGAAATGTCATGATTATTAGGTAGAATTGTGTTTGTGGATGGTCCCATTCTAGAAAAGACAGCTTCCATGTGTGCATTGTAGAGAGTACAATTTTAGGAGCTCTAATATTTCAAGATATCTGTTAACTACATGCACTAACAA